TAGTGAATAGCACTACCACACACCCACTCCCATTGCTTGAGCCAAAATCTTAGCCTTGTTTTTGACTTCTCTCTCTCCTTTATCCTCAAATACTTTAGATTCTACCTCTGGAATCTCTTTCCCTCTCCTCACCACCACTCTTGCTTAGACCATCATCATTTCTTGCTCATCTTACTGCAATTGTTTCCAAATTAGTATTGCTTCCTCTAATACTTTCATCACACTATAGCCAAAGTGATATTTTTTAAAGAAATAAATGTACTTAAGTCACTTGCCTGCTGAACAACTTTGATTATCTCCATTCCTGGACTTTATACAAGTCCAAACTCGTTAACCAAGCTCATTAGAGCATTTCCCCATGGACCACATCCTCTAGCTCTCCTCGCCTCCTAGATGAGGCTCCAGTCAGACTGGAATATTCTCAGTTCTCCTCCTACCCCATGTTCTCTCACCTCCCATCTTTTGTAAATGTAGCTTCCTCTACCTACACACTCACTGCCCACCCTCCTCACTCAGTCTTCGCACATTTATTCTGGCTAACTTCCATTGATTCTCTAGATTTCACCTCTAAGAAACTTTCCTCAAACTCTACTCCTATTGAGTGTCCTACTTGGGTGTCCTATATGCTCCAACAGAATACTACACCGTTCCCATTATAGCATTTCTTTCCACAGTTTTATCATTGTCACCTACTTATCTCTTCCACAGACATTATCTCCATGAGTACAGGAACACTGTTGTATCCCTGGTGCCTAACAGAGTCCCAAGCACATAGAAGGACATCAATAAACATTTGATAAATAAATAAATTGGTTGATTAATGGGTACAAATATACAGTTAGATAGAAGACATAAGACTTGGTGTTTGATCAGTAGGGTGACTATAGTTAAAAATAATCTATTGTACATTTCAAAATAGCTGGAAGAGAATAATTTGAATGCTCCCAGCATAAAGAAAAGATAAATATTTAAGGTAACGGGTATCCCAATTACCTTGACTTGATCTTTACACATTATATGAATGTATCAAAATATCACATGTATCCCCCAAACATGTATATCTGTTATGTATCAATCAAAAATTAAAATAAGAAAAACATTAGGCACATGAATAAATTGATGCTTTATAAGCCTCTGCTTCTCAAACTGGGGTACCACTGGGAGTATGTTGTAGTGTGGTAGGAATATAATAAACGTGAGACATAATCCTCAGGGCATCAGTTTTTGCTATATAATCAGGGTTAAAATCCATTACTTCTATATTGAAATTAAAGTGGATATGTAATAGAATGAAGCAAAAAATTCTTACACATTTATATGACAAAGCATGAGATATCAAAGATATTTCCCACTTGCTTTGGGGTCTTTAGACTCAACCCCAGAACCTACAGTGCCACACTTTCCCTCTTTTGCTGTCAGGAATATTCAATAGAAAAACTCAGAAATATGATACCATGTTCCATTCATATTTTATCCCAGAGTTCTTTGATTTTGAAATAGCATACATTTTATGCAAATAATTACATGATTATAGCTTCATATACAGCATTTGTGAACAAAAGATGGCTTTTAGTTTTAATAATTCAAAATGTAATTTGTTTCAGTAAAAGCAAAAAAGTCATAACCAACCCAAACCTCATATATCTGCATATGTGCTTGTACTGTATGTATTATTATGAACAAAGAGAAATGTGTAGAAAAATAAAAATCAAACTGTTAACATTCATGGGATTGGGCAGCTGGGTAGAGAGTGGGGTGAAAGAATTAGCTTTGCCTTAACATATTCATGTTATATTTTTCACTTACTATAACAAACATACTACTGATAAATTTGAAGGAAAAAATTTTAAAAATGAGTATTTTCATTAGCAAAAAATGGAGTCTATGTTGACTTTGCCCACAATTATCTGCAAATCCTGAAAATAAGACTTTATATTCCAATTCTACTTACTAATATTTCATTACCAGTTCTTTTTTTTTTTAAGAGAAAACCCTCAAAAAGGGAAAGATTAGTGTAAACCTTTTTTTAAAATATAAGTGTTCCTGAATGTGCTTTTTCAAATTTAAAGATGCTTAATAAACCAATTTTAATTATGATTCTTAATTACAATTGAGCAACTCTTAATTATTTGTCATTTAAGCTTTTGGGGGTGAATTAGAATTCCAAAACAGCTATCCACTTTTGGGGAAAGACAGCTTAAAGAAGCAACTGGGGTTTACCTAGTTTAAAAGGTTGGAAGTGGGCAATTAAAGGTGGTAATATCCCAGTTGGATTTCACAACTACTTAATAATACCAGCTTTTATGTTGGTGTAGCAGGCATGTGTAACAGCTGGCAAAACAGCACTGTTTGTCATTGAGTTTACAATGCAAAATTAGGGCTATCTTTTGTGTCAGAGGATATGCATTTTTAAGCAGATGTCACCATTATTAGAAATAAAACAACGATAGGGATCCAGGCCTTGGAGGCAAAGTCAGGGTGGGAAACAGTCCATGCCCCTTTCTAAGTGAAATTCACCCATGCTCACAGCATTTAAAAGAACACAGGATTATACTTAATACATAGGATTCCTTATCTTTATGATCATTAGCCAGGATTCAAAACTCTTTGGGGAAAATAAATTTCTGGCCATAGTCTTATTCTTTTCCGGAACAATGACAGCAATTATACATTCTACAATAGTCCTAACTTCAGATATTTTATTTCATTGTTCTTATAAATCAGAGACCTCCATCCAATCTCTGGTCTTGTGGACCAACTGTAGCCCTCCTGAGATTCTTAGCAAACAAATAACAATTTAACTGAAGCAGCTACTTAACAGTAAGATGAGAAGTTTAAGTTTCCTTTATCACAGCCTTCTGTTTTATTTTTATCAGAGCCTTTACTGTTACCTGACATTTTCTTGATTGTCTGTCTCCCCCCACTAGAATGTAAGCTTTCTGAGAGTAGGGACTTGATCTGTTTTATTCATCCCAGTGTGCTTCTAACAATCCTTGGCACACCCACACAGAGTGGCTGAACAGATTCAACGTAACTAGTGCAAGGGCAGAGGGCTGCTTTGGGAGTGCAGAGGAATCTGGATTGAATTTTACATGGGGACAAGCACACTCTTAGCGGTGGTTTCATTTATTCAGTCAACAAACATTTATTGAGAGTCCCTTGGCATAATATAGCAATGAACAAACTGGCATAGATCCTAACTTCATTAAGCTTGTAATCCAAGTGGGACAAGAGACATTAAAAAATAAAACCATACAACTCACTATCTAATTACAAATAGTGGCAAGTGTGATGAAGGAAAAATATAGGGTAATACAAGCAATTATAAAAAGGGTACCACATGATATCTGCACAACTCTGTAAATACACTAAAAGTCCACTGAATTGAATACTTTAAAAGAATGAATTTTATGGCATATAAATTATACCTCAACAAGCTATTATTAAAAAAACAGTATCATAGATATGAGCACAGCTTTGGATGCCTGTATTTATGGGTTCATAATCTTGGTGTGACACTTACTAGCTGTGTTCTCTTGGGCAACTTATTTACATCTCCGTACCTTGGTTTCTTCACCAATAAAATGAAGATAATAACACTTCCTTCTAGGTTTGTTCTCAAGGTTAAATAAGTTAGTATTTACAAAGCACTGAGAACTGTACCTGGTACCCAAAAAAGGTGAGCTTTTATTACCTCTGGGGGGTAAGGGAGAGCTATGGGCTGAATGTTTGTGTCCCCCCAAAACCCATATGTTGAAATCCTAACCCGCAATGGGAAGGTATTAGGAGGTGAGGCTTTTGGAAGGTAATTAGGTCATGAGGGTGGAGCCCTCATGAATGAGATTAGTCCCCCTATAAAAAGACATACAACAGCCTGAGCAACATAGAGAGACCTGTCTCTACAAAAAATTAAAAAATTAGCCACGTGTGGTGGCACGTGCCTGTAGTCCCAGCTATTCAAGGGACTGAGGCAGGAGGATCACTTGAGCCCAGGAATCTGAGGTTGCAGTGAGCTATGATGACACCATGCACTCTAGCCCAAGTAACAGAGGGAGACTTTGTCTCAAAACAAAAAGAAAAAGAAAAACAAACAGACAAGACATGGAAGAGTTTGCTTCCTCTCTCTCTCTCTCCTCCTACCATGTGAAGAAACAAGTGAAGAAGGTTGTTTGCAAACCAGGAAGAGTGCCCTCACCAGATACCAGATCTGCCTTCACCTTGATCTTGGACTTCCAGACTCTAGAGCTGTAAGAAACAGATTCCATTGTTTCAGCCACTCAGTCTATGATATTCTTTTATGGCAGCCTGAACTAAGACAGGGAAGAAACAGGAATCAAAAAGACAGAACAGCAAATAAAGGCAAAGTCAGAAACCTCTTGAGCTCTATTCCTTGCCACCTGGAAACTTTTCTTCAAGGGCTCTATTCAAAAATTTAAAGGCATTATGTTTTGATCTATTTTGCTTTATGAAGAAAGCTCTTTTGTTACAGAAATCGACTATGCCATGAATATATCTGAAACAACAATAATATAAAATTGTAGAAAGAGACCTATATATTCCCTATGTTTTCTAATTTAGAACACAAAGCACATTTCCTGCATTTACTTTTTAAAAAAAAATTAACAGCTTTATTGAGACATAATTCATATACCATAAAATTCACCTTTTTCTTTTGAGACAGGGTCTTGCTATATTGCCGAGGCTGGCCTCGAACTCCTGGGCTCAAGTGATCCCCTCACCTCAGCCTCCTGAGTAGCTGGGACTGCAGGCTCACGTCACTACATTCAGCTTAAAATTTAGCCTTTAAAAGTGTACAATTCAAATGGTGTTTAGTATATTCACAGAGTTGTGCAATTATCACCACTATATAATTCCAGAGCATTTTCATCATCCCCTCAAAAATCTTCATGCCCATTAGAAGTCACTCTTGGTCTCCCCTCCTCCCAGCCCCTGGCAATCACTACCCCACTTGCTGCCTCTGTGAGTTTCTCTGTTCGTACCTTTGCTCTTGGAAAGACACGTGGAAATGAACCATGCTGTCTTTGGGGTTGCCAAAGTTTACCCTCAGATTCCAGAGGGAAAATAAATGATTTCTGATCAATTAAAGTTGGAAGCAGCCTAAGTAAAAAAAAGGGGAATTTAAAATCAAATTTGCTGTCTTAAAAGCTTCTCAAATTGTAATTTTAAAACAATGCTTCCTAGTTAAGATTATATTTTATAGAAAATATTATATTGGTAATTACAATTAATTAAACCAATCTTTAGCATTTTTACCACTGTAAAACTGTAGTTGTTTTATTAAGCATTAGAATTTCCAAGTCTGATAAAGACATTTATAGCATGAATAAAAAGCTCTATCTCTAGCTAAGTTTATATGACTAACAATTGACAGAATTATTATACTATAAAACATTTCCTGATAAAGAAAAATACATAATGTTGTATTTTGTTTAATAAAATCAAATTACAGGATAGTCAATGATAAATAATATTCAAAATGATGGTCCCTAAGTAGTTAATACTTACATTCTTTAAATCTCTATTTTATATGATTGTAAAGATTTCAAGATCAAAGGGAGTTAAAGGTTTTCCTTGTTAAGCAGTGGACAGTTCCATGGGAAAGCAATGTAAAAACAAACTAAAATTGTAAGAATGAGTGTATGTGTGCTATCTTATGTCTTACCATTTTTAATTTGGAAACAGGATCTAGTTCTTTAAAATGGTCAATGTAATTAAGACCAACAAAACTCACCCACCAATAACTCAATCCCTTGATTCTACTGTGATGCCCACTTTTGTAAAATTATCTTTAAAAAGGAACTCATGGACTTTTAGTTTTGCTCCAACATGTAAAGAGCCTAGAAGTTGTTGCTCCCATGCTCACAACAAGAAAAAAGCTAAAATAGACTATTTTTATATCTATCAGAGAATTGAGATCACAGGGCAAGCTGCTGCCCTGAATACTGGAGAGAGAGGAGAATTCAAGGTGTCACAGCTTATATGGAGCAGAATCCTGCTGCTGGGCCAGTACTGACAAGAACACCTAAACTCTAACTGACAAATTTCTTGAGGCTTGGTGCGGACTAACTTGAGAATTAAAAACTCTGGGGGAGGCTGGGCACTGTGGCTCTCATCTGTAATCCTAGCACGTTGGGAGGCCAAGGTGGGAGGATGGCATCAGGTCAGGAATTTGAGACCAGCCTGAGACCCCATCTCTATAAAAAATAGAAAAATTAGCTAGGCACAGAAAACAGAAAAATTAGCCAGGCACACTGGCGCACACACCTGTAGTCCCAGCTACTTGGGAGACGGAGGCAGGAGTTTTGTTTGAACCCAGGAGTGTGAGGTTGCAGTGAGCTATGATGACGCCACTGTGCTCTGTCCAGGCAACAGAGTGAGACCCTGTCTTAAAAACAAAACAAAACAAAACAAACAAACAAAAGCCCGCAAAACTGGGGGGGGGGTCTTTGAAAGTCTCACACTTTTCTGAGATTTACCTCCAAGATCCTTATCATGTTCTTTCTGTGAAGATCAGAGAAAGATCCCCTCCTGCTTCCAGCGGAGAGAGGGGAAGTGACCATTTTGAAATATTCCCAGAGAGTTTTCTTCTTTGTTCTGTTCCTTGTAATGAAGGCCAACTCTCAAGGAAAACTATTTTGCCAAAGCCTTATGTGACCTGGAAATATTGTAAGAAATGAAGAATGCTTTTGATGGGCTTATCAAACTCTGGATATAGCCAATGAAAGAATCAGTGAGCTTGAAGAAATGTCAACATTAACTCCCAAAACTGAAATGAAGAGAGGAAAAAGGAGTGAAAAAAACAACAGAATATCCAAGAACTGTGGGATAACTATACATGGTATAACATACACGTGCTGGGATTACTAGAAAAAGAAGAAAAGGACAAAGGAGGAGAAGAAATGTTTGAGTAATAATGGCTGAGAATTTTCCAAAATTATGACAGACACCAAACTATAGACCCAGAAATCTCAGAGAACAGTGACCAGGATAAATGCCAAAAAACTATATGTAGGCATATCCTATTCAAACCATGGAAAAGCAAAGACAAAGAGCAAACCTTGCAAGACGCCACAGAGGAAAAAACGCCTGACCTATTAAGAAACAAGGATACGAATTACACTGGACTTCTCTTCGCAAACCATGAAAGAAAGAAGAGAGTGGATTAAAATATTTAAAATGTGGAGAGAAAAAACCCATCAACTTAGAATTCTATATCCAGCAAAATTACCCTTCAAAAGTGAAGGGGAAATAAAGATGTCCTCAAACAAACAAAAACTAATGGAATTTGCTGTCAGAGATCTGTCTTGCAAAAAATGGTAAAAGTAATTCTTTGGAGAGAAAGACAATGATTTAGGTTAGATATGGTATATATGAGGCAAAAAGAAAACCCAGTGAATTCACCACTGCATTTTTCCTTGTGTCCCAAAGAACCTAGCTGGTCTGCCTTCTTCCCTTCACCTTTCAGAGTCTTCTTATGTTTGTTTTATATATAATGTCCAGGGTTTTTGGGTGTACTTAGGAGGAGGCATAGGAGAAAGTATGTCACCATCTTCCAAGAAGTGAAAGTCTCTTCTTAAATCCTTTTATCTCCATGGATTATGTATTTAGAAGTGAATTTAGATATTGATAATTGAATTGAGATACAATTTTGTAACTTGCTTTTTTTCCCTCAACATATACTATGAGAAATTTTCCATGTCATTAAAATTTCCTCAATATCAGTTTTAATAGCTATACAATGCACATATAGATGTGCTATAATGAATTTAATCAATCTTTTACTGTTGACATTTAAGATATATTCAGATTTATTATTATTAGATATCATTAAATAATATAATACTAAAATAAATATACAGAAATTCATGTATATCTCTCCTTATTTCTAAAGATAATTCCTAGAGCCACAATTACTAAATCAAAAATAATAATTTTAAAAATCTTCTCACCTATGTTGAAAAATTGTCTTTAAGAACTTTGTGTTCTCTTTCATTTCCAAAATGGTGGTATAGATGCTAGCTCACTTCACACCCCCCCACAGAGAAAACCAAAAACAAATATTCGGCTCCACAATTATCATCAGCAATATTCCAGAACCCAAATATGAGAATGAGACAGTTCCCAAAGTCAAAGAGAAGTGAAAAAACTCCAAGCAGATGGTAAGATAATCAGATTTCCATATCCGTGATTCCCCTCCCCGCAATCTGCCCTGCACCAAGTATATGAAAAAATTTTTCCCCAACTCACAGTTCCACACTGGAAAAAGTGAGATCAAGGTGGACAATCAGCTTCCTCACCATCTTGGGTTCCCTGGCAGGAGATCTGTCCCAGCCTCAACCCATCGGATGCATCGAGAATGCCTGAAGGGAGAAATATCCCTCAGGATAGCCAGAAACAAAGAGGGGAGATGGGACTACATTCCCAGCCCTGGAAACTCTGCTCTGTAACTTGGTCAAAACAGATGCCAAATCTGAGTGGCTGTTCAGCAGCAGCCACTATAGGATGTTTGTCCCATAGTTCCCCTGGGCATGGACTCCTAGCCAGCCTATCCACACTGTTGTGATATCTCCTTTGGGACCTCCCTCATTTAGGACAGGCAGCACTCTGATCCTTCACTGGAGCCAAGGCAAACCTGGGCTTAAGGCACCATCTAGGGATGAAAACGAGGCAGCAACCTAGCAGGGGAAAAAAAGAAAGAAATTTAAAAATTACATTGAATCCCTGAGCAAACATATCCAACAAAAACCAAAACAAGCCAGGTAGAGAAAACTGGAATAAATAACTAATCCTTCAATGAAAAGATATAGACATAAATCCACAAGAAACAATAGTAAACAGGAAACCACGATCTCCTCAAACAGACAAAGTAAGAAATCAGTGATCGACCTTAATGAGACAGCAAAATGTGAGCTTTCTCAACAAGAATTCAAAATAGCAGTTTTAATTTAAGTAATTGCCAAGATAACACAGAAAATCAATTCAGAAATTTATCAGAGAGATTTAACAAAGAGATGGAAATAATTTCAAAAGTTAAACAGAAATCTTAGAACTGAGAAATACATTTGCTGAATTGAAAAATTCACTAGAGGCTCTCGATAGCAAAATAAATAAAGCAGAGGAAAGGATCAATGAGCTCAAAGGCAGGTATTTGAAATACACAACCAGAAGAGGAAAAAAAAAGAATGAAAAGGAATGAATCCTATAAGTATAGGATTTAGAAAATTACTTCAAAAGACCAAATCTAAGAATTATTGGGGTTCAAGAGGGAGTTGAATAAGAGCAAGGGGTGCAAAGTTTATTCAAAGAAATTATACCAGAAAATGTTCCAAAACTTGAGAAAGATATAAATAACCAGGTGCAGGAAGGGCAGATAACACCAAATAAATGTGACCCAAATAAGACCACCTGAAGGCATATAATAATCAAAGTCTCAAAAGTCAAGGACAAAGAGAGGAACCTAAAAGCAACAAGAGAAAAAAAGCGAATAACATATAAAGGAGCTCCAATTCGTCTGGCAACAGACTTCTCAATGGAAACTATACAAGCCAGGAGTGACTGGGATGACATTTTCCAAGTGCTGAAAGAAAAAACTGCCATTCAAATATATTGTATCCAACAAAGCTATCTGTCAAATATGGAAAGATAAAGTCTTTCCTAGACAAGCAAAATTCTGAGTGAACTCACCACCACTTGACCCATCTGACAAGAAATGCTAGAGGGAGTTCTTTAACCTGGAAGAAAAAACACAAATGTGCAAAAAGAAAACATATGAAAGTATAAAACCCACTGGTACTGGCATAAAGACACATAGACCAATGGAACAGAAAAGAGAACTCAGAAATAAACCGACACACTTACTGGCAACTCATTTTTGACAAGAACATGCAATGCAGAAAGGACAATCTCTTCAATGAATGGTTCTGGGAAAACTAGAAAACCATATTCAGAAGAATGAAACTAGACCCCTATCTCTTACTGTATAGAAAAATCAAATCAAAATAGATTAAAGACTTAAATCTAATACCTGAAACTACTAGAAGAAAACACTGGAGAAATGCTCCAGGACATTGTTCTGGGCAAAGATTTTTTT